GGTTAATCCCACCTAGTTCATTTTTTTTATCTCACACGTTGTAGTTTTCATCTCTTCAGTCTGTTATATCTCCCATGTGCTTTCTTAATTTTCCCAAACGTATGGAATAAGTTGTAATAGCTATTTTAATGACTTGGCTGCTAATTCTAACATCTGTATCAGTGTAGGTTGGTTTCATTTGAGTGCTTTAGCTCCTCATGATGTGTCTTATTTTCCTGCCTGATAGTTTTTTTTCTGAGTGCAAGACATGAATTTTACTTCGTTGCATACCGGATATTTTTGTATTCCCATAAATGTTATTGAGCAGTTAGGTTGCTTGGAAACAGTTTGTTCCTTTTGGGTCTAGCTTTTAAAATTTGTTAAGCAGGTCTGGAAACAGTAGTCAGTATAGAGCTAATTATTCCCCACTACTGCAGCAAGAGTCTCCTATGTACTTTACTGAGCACTCCATGAATCTTGAAGTTTTTCTGTCTGACTGGTGGAAATAGGTATTATTCCTGGTCTGGTGTGAAGATAGGCACTCTTTCTAGAGATCCTTTTCAGTGGATCTTTCCTGGCCTTGCACAGTTCCCTAACATGCATGCACTGATCAGTGTTCAGCTGAATATTAGAAAGGGGCCCTCTGCAGATCTCCAGAGTTTTCTTTCTGTTCTCCGTGGCACTCTCTCCTTGTGAACTCTAGCCTGGTCTCTCAGCTTTGTCTCCTCAATTCAGAGAATTCTCTGGGCTCCACCTGGGTTCTTTCTCCCTGTGCTGTGGCCTGGAAAACTTTCAAGGTGGTAATCTGGGTCAATTATAGAGCTCACCTTGTTTGTTTCCCATCTTTCAGGCATCATTGTCCTTTGTTGCTTGACATCCCGTGTCTTATAAACCATTGTTTCATACATTTTGTTTGTTTGTTTTTTGTTGTTATTATAGGTGGAAGAGTGAATTCATTCTCTATTATTCTTGGTCAAAAGCAGAAGTCCTTATATGAAATTTTGACTCCCCTATGTTACTCTGAGGTTGATGATAGCATTATTTAGTATAAATCGTTTATATATGCAGTAGCCCTTTGGAATCTTCTCCCTAAAGGAGGGTATTCCCTAACCATCCTAGGAAATCCCTAGAACATATCTGTAAATTTGAGTGCAATCTGTTTTTTCAATAGCAATCATGATTCATTGCTTGGTATTGGACATATTAGTAACCCACGTAAAATTGGAGTTCTTTTAGCAAGGAAAAAGAAGTAAATTAATATTGGGTAAACACTAATGGTGCTTGCCACAGATCTTACTGTTGAGGGTTTCTGAGCTAGCCACAAATTGTGCTATATTTAGGTACTTTTATTCATAGATTTCTGCATAAAATTACAAATAAGTAGAACTTGGCACCCTTTTACATACCTCTTTCAAAAGAGGGCTATGCTAAATGTCTTTGTCCATTAAAGGATCATAAGCTTCAACACTATGTAATTATCTCTGTAGTAGGTTTTAAATAGAGCTGTAATCAATTAGAAAGGAGAAACTGAATGTTAGGGAATACACTGGCAGAACATTGAGCCTGAGCCTGGTGGTTATTACATTTTCAAATGTCACATACCAGTAAAAGGATTTTTGTTGCATCAACTGACAAATGCTTTTAAATGCAGACAGTCGGT